AAATACAGCGGTACCTCGGGTTACATACGCTTCAGGTTACAGATTCAGCTAACCCAGAAATAGTACCTCAGGTTAAGAACTTTGCTTCAGGATGAGAACAGAAATCGTGCTCCGGTGGCACGGCAGCAGCAGGAGGCCCCATTAGCTAAAGTGGTACCTCAGGTTAAGAACAGTTTCAGGTTAAGTACGGAACCTCCGGAACGAATTAAGTACTTAACCCGAGGTACCACTGTACATTCTAAAATCAATTCATTCTAAAATCAATTCAGAGTCAAATTAATGGCAACCATTGGGCTAGAGTTCTGTGAGGATTGCAGAAGGAGAGAGGAGATCAGGCTGTGCCTTGGCCAAAGGCCAGGCGGAACAGCTCTGTCTTGCAGGCCCTGCGGAAAGATGTCAAGTCCTGCAGGGCCCTAGTCTCTTGTGACAGAGCGTTCCACCAGATCGGGGCCACGGCCGAAAAAGCCCTGGCTCTGGTTGAATACAAATATAATATCTACCCATCCTGCGCAAGTGGTGTTCCCTATGTTGTGTCCTGTTTCGGAGCTTGACCTCACATCCCTGTTTTACGAATCCCAGGCTAGAGGCTTGTTTTGCTGCTAAATTTGGCTTGGTATGTTACAAGTTGAGGAAGGGTTGTCTCATGTGCTCAAGTTGAGGAAGGGTTGTCTCATTTTGCATGTGCTCTGCATGCAAAAAGTCCCGGGTTCAGTCCCTGGCATCTTGGGGTAGGACTGGGAACGGGCCCTTGCGTGAAACTCCAGGGAGCCAGTACGTCCTCATGGTCAGAATGAAAATAACAGCTGAAGTTTAAAAGCAGTACACCTTTTCATTCAGCTAGAAAAGCTTGTCAAAATATTAAAAAATGCCTTCCTCCAAATGCCTCTCCATATTTCTGGAGTGGCTGCCTGAAGCATCTTCTTGACAGAGATACTGTTGCACAAAAGTGGGGGGCCACCACGCTGAAAGCCCTGCTCAGAGTTATTGTGGAGCAGCCTTCTGATATTTTGTGGACTGGAAGGAGAAGCTCTCCTGCGGACCGCAGCAACATGCATCATGGGGAAAGTGTTCTCTCAAGAATTTACTTGCCCATTCAGGCAGGAATAGGGGGCAGGCATCCTCTCCACAGTGAATGCTGGGATCACCACTCCCCCCTAAAACCAGTCAGCCTGGGCTGAGGGATAGGACTGGGCTTGATAGACAGTGATGGCAACGCCTGTGGCATGTTTGTCAGCTGCAGCAGAGGCTGCCAGGAAAGCCACGTGCGTGCTTATTCCTGCCCTCAGTATGATATCACCACTGGCATATTGGCAGTGAGGGAGGGCTTCAGTGGCGCAAGGATTCTCCGCAGCTCCAGGAGGCATGAAGTCATAGATACATCCTAGGCGCTTTCGTCTTTCAAGGCGTTCTTCTCTTCTCATAGCACAAGCTACTGCAGGAGCAGGGAGTCTCAGGCTCTCCCAGCCTCTCCCTGCGGTGTAAGGTAAAGGTAAAGGGACCCCTGACCATTAGGTCCAGTCGTGACCGACTCTGGGGTTGCGGCGCTCATCTCGCTTTATTGTCCGAGGGAGCCGGCGTATAACCATGTCATGTGGCCAGCATGACTAAGCCACTTCTGGCAAACCAGAGCAGTGCACGGAAACGCCGTTTACCTTCCCGCTGGAGTGGTACCTATTAATCTGCTTGCACTTTGACGTGCTTTTGAACTGCTAGGTTGGCAGGAGCAGGGGCCGAGCAACGGGAGCTCACCCCGTCGTGGGGATTCGAATCGCTGACCTTCTGATCGGCAAGTCCTAGACTCTGTGGTTTAACCCACAGCGCCACCCGCATCCCTTCTCTGCGGTGTAGGATGGCCAATTTTGTTGGCATCCATCTGTCGCGAGAAACAATGGAGTGTGCATCCCGGGGTGAAGACTAAACTGCTGCAGTAGCAGCACCAAGGTGACTTTCCCGGGGCGCAAGACTGGGCAGTGTGGATGGAGGTTCTGGGCTGCCCAGAAGACAAGACCCCCCTCTTCACCTCACCAGTGTGGTCCAAAGGAAAGCAGAGCAAGACGTTTGGCGCCAGCTTGGCTGCAGGAGTTGATGGAAGGAGGCGTACGAGGCGCCATCCAACCGCCTTAGGGACTCCACTTCAGATTGATTTTTTTTACTCCTGAGGCTTTTCTTCTGAAAATGTCCTGCAAGGCAGGACAAGGCAGAGGTTTAGGATCAGATCTTTATTTTTCTTATTAATAATAGCAGAACACTGACACATGCCCCCTCCCTCATAGGCAGTATGATCATGTAGTACAATCTTCTCTGCACCCACATTGGTCCTAAGTCACACTGGTGACTTGTTCACACTGAGAACCAGTGTGGTGTAGTGGTTAAGAGCGGTAGACTCGTAATCTGGGGAATCGTGTTCGTGTCTCCGCTCCTCCACATGCAGCTGCTGGGTGACCTTGGGCTGCTCACATTTCTGAAGTCTCTCAGCCCCACTCACCTCACAGAGTGTTTGTTGTGGGGGGGAAAGGGAAAGGAGATTGTTAGACGCTTTGAGACTCCTTAGGGTAGTGATAAAGCGGGATATCAAATCCAAACTCTAAGTTTATAACTGAATAGGGGGGGAAATGGTTTTGCATTAGAATTGCTGGCAGCAACTTGATATTCCCGCCTCCCAGTGTGTCCAAAAATAAAACAGGCCAGCTCTCTGTTCAATATTAAAAATGAAACTGGAAGCCAGTCGTACGAAGCCCTCCCACATCTTGCCCAGGAAGTTTCCCAAAATCTGCTTCTGTCCCGATTTTTAACAGTGTATTGCTAGGAATGTTCCTTTTGCTTAAATAGAGAGGTCTAGGCATGAAGGAAGCTGCCAATTCACTCCAGTCCACAACCTCTGAGTTATAAGTTGCTCTTATTTCAGGAACTTTGGGCTAGTACATTGCCAGTTTGTTGTGACACACTGCTTGCTTGAGATGGCTCTCCATCCCATCGCAAGGGGACTCACTAGTATAAGGAATGCCTTTTTATTGTTTTCCATTAACTGTAGTTACTTGTTTCATCAGAACTGACAACCGTGTCTAGTCTTAACTATTGTTTAGGGAGGAAAGCCAGGGTCATAATCTTATGGTTTGAAACTGCCTTGTTCCCCTACACTGTAGTTAGGACTAGCCACGGTTCTTATGTCTGAACCCAGACAAACTGTGGCTAGTCCTAACTATAGTGTAGGGGAACAAGCTACCGGTAGTTTCGACTGAAAGTAACCTTGGTTAGGTGAAAACTTTCAGTTGTCTCATCTTGGTTAGGCTTCAGGGCTTATCTCTTGAGGGCTGCATGGTGATTGGGGGTGTGGAAGACATTCATGGTGGATACAGCATCAGAGCAAATAAGGCCATTGCTCTCTCTTTCTTCCACCTTCTTTTCTCTCTCTCTCTTAGCCTGCCCTGGGAGAGTCTGGTTGCTCTGGCCAGAGATGTGAACTGACCACTTGCAGAAGGCTTTTCAAATTAGACTGAGGACGACATTAAATTAGACCAAGGGGCTGCATCTGCAAGGTGCCCACCACGACCCCAGTATTACATTCCAGCCAGGCTGTTGCATTTCACCATCTCTCAGCCGCTGTTCCTTGAATGCAGAGTACTAGAGGTTTGTCCTTTGCCTGCACCAAGCTATGTTTCCACTGACGGGTCTGCCTACCACATATTCCTCCTGTCTTGTCATTTTTACGTTAGAGCATCCTGAAGCAAGGAGTCCTGTCAGTCAACTGTGGACTGTTCTGCTGCTTTTTTAAACTATAGAGTTGTAGAGCTGGAAGGGACCCCAAGAGTCATCTAGTCCAACCCCCTGAAATGCAGGGATCTCAGCTAAAGCATCCATGATGGATGGCCATACAATCTCTTCTTAAAAACCTCCAAGGAAGGAGAGTCCACAACCTTCTGAGGGAGACCGTTCTGCTGCGAACAGCTCTTACAGTAAGAAGTGGACAAAATCATGTTTTTGTCCAGAGGCATTTTTAAAGCCTATCATAAAGGTAAAGGTACCCCTGACCGTTAGGTCCAGGTACGGACGACTCTGGGGTTGCGGTGCTCATCTTGCTTAACTGGCCGAGGGAGCTGGCATACAGCTTCTGGGTCATGTGGCCAGCATGACTAAGCCGCTTCTGGCGAACTAGAGCAGCTCATGGAAACGCCGTTTACCTTCCCTCCGGAGTGGTACCTATTTATCTACTTGCACTTTGAGGTGCTTTCGAACTGCTACGTCGGCAGGAACAGGGACCGAGCAACGGGAGCTCACCCTGTTGCGGGGATTCGAACCGATAACCTTCTGATCGGCAAGCCCTAGGCTCAATGGTTTAACCAAAAGCGCCACCTGCGTCCCTTTAAGCCTGTCATGGGACTGAGTAAATGGAAGCAAAGGGGTACATTTCTCAAGGCACCAGGAATTTAGATCTGAAGCAATCGCTTATAAAAACTCTCACACACTGTGAGCTGGGCATCTCCCACAATAGGGAGGACTGTAAATTTATTATCTTTTGTGTGTGTTGGGTGAAGGTCAGGTTTCTTTGGCTCTCGTTCACTTTTCCCCCAGTGTGTTTGTGTGTGTACATATATGCACAATATATAAAATTTCATCATCCAGCTGAGCTGACCTATTGCAGTCACGTACACGAACCTTACACATACATTTGGAAGACACCGAGGTTGCGCACGATTGATGAGGGTGCCTTTGCAGAAGAAAGGGCGGCCATGGTTCAGGGCTGAAAAAATAAACTCTGTTGCGTTTGGAACTTGCAGGGGTACACTGTGGTAGCTAAGATACAGATAGAGCCAGAACAATGCTGCTCGGTGTGTCAGGCAACATCACTTTCTTAGTTGCATTTTAATCTTCTGTGGGCTCAGCGACTTTTGCTTCCAACCCGCTACAATAATTGCTGAGCAAGAAAAGAACTTTGCAAAGCGAAAGATTTAATGAGGGGCGGGGGTTGGGGTTGCGGGGGGGAGATGCAGAAGAAAAGCAGCGCCCCTGAGGGTAGACACGATAGACGGCCCCAAATTACCCAGGAGACACCATCAACCTTTCAAATCTTTCGCATCCCTTGCAAATCAACACTGCAAATCTTTGAATCCAGATCTGTTTCCTGCATCTTCCAGCAATGGGATTTCCAGACCTGGAGGTTAGCCAGCTGTTAGAAATGAATAGGACCCAGAAGAATAGCTTTAGCTGCTTTACGATTCAAAAAGGAGGCGTAGCCTTGATCCAGATAATCTGAGAAAATCTTGAAAAACAGAAGCAAGCGTGTGTGTTAAGGCTGCAGGGTGATTCACAAGCTGTCTTTTCTGAAGGTGAAATCCTGATGTGCCCATCTCCTAACTTTCTTTTCTGTTTCCTCCCTCTTCCCCAAATTTCCTCCCAGTTTGGCAACAGGAATGCGCAGTGATCCCAGGGCTTGAGAAAATGGAATCTCCTCAAATACCGCCAGGTGATGCAGAGCAGTCTTCCACAGACTTCGACGATCTCCAGTATTCACTGCAAGGTAAGTTCTTCCGTGTGAGGTTCGGTAAGGGGAACATCTGTAGCCGTAGTTTCATCAGGACACAAGAGCATCTCTGTTGGATCGGGCTGATGGTCCGTCTCCTGCAAGCACCCTGCTTCGGTCAGAAGCGAGCCAGCCAGGGACCTCCAGAAATCACACGAGCAGAAATCTCTTGCTTCTGTTCCACTGAATCTGGTATCGGGGGCCATAGCTCAGTGGTTGAGAAACCCTCTTTGTGTGAAGGTGGTTCCAGGTTCAATCCTGGCAACACCAAGTAGGACTGGGAGAGATCCTTGTCTTGAGTTCTGCAGAGGTTGCTGCCAGTCTGTGTAGACAGTACGGAGCTAGATAGGGCAATAAGGCCAAGGATGTGTGGACACTGTACCTTTTCAGTGCATTTGAAGCACATTAATTCCCTCAAATCCTGCCAACCTAGCAGTTTGAAAGCACGTCAGAGTGCAAGTAGATAAATAGGTACCGCTCCGGCGGGAAGGTAAACAGCATTTCTGTGTGCTGCTCTGGTTCGCCAGAAGCGGCTTAGTCATGCTGGCCACATGACCCAGAAGCTGTACGCTGGCTCCCTTGGCCAATAAAGTGAGATGAGCTCCATCCATTTGACCTGGCCATGAGTCAGTTGAATAACAGATATCTAGGTCCAGTGCCGAGGGCCTTCTGGCGGTTCCCTTGCTGCGAAAAGCCAAGTTACAGGGAACCAGGCAGAGGGCCTTCTCGGTAGTGGCACCCGCCCTGTGGAACACCCTCCCATCAGATGTCAAAGAGAACAACAACTACCACGACTGGACCTAATGATCAGGGGTCCCTTTACCTTTACCTTTTATTTCCCTCAAAGAATTCTGGGGACTGTAGTTTAAGGCAGTGTTTCCCAAGCGGTGTTCCGCGGCACACTAGTGTGCCGCGAGACGTTGCCTGGTGTGCCGCGGGAAAAATTAAAAAAATTCGAAAGATATCCGGAGAGGCGGCCTTCAGGCGAGTTTTAATTTTAATTTTCCTTCTCCCACTTAATGCCCCACGCTCGCCTGAGCAGCTTGCAGTCCTCGGTAACCACGGCGACCCGAGGGAGGGGAGGGAACAGGGAAGTCGAGGGCGGCGGCGAGCCGCGATGACGTCAGTGGGCCGCGCCGCCTCGCCCTGGCACGGTGTGAGAGCCCCGGCTAGTGGCGCGAGCTTCGGAATAAGTGGGATCCGCGTGCGCGAGACCGAGATCGCGGGTAAGGAGCTCAGCCCTGGGCAGGAGGAAGCGGGGCCGCGCGTGCGGGCCACATCCCCACAGAGAGCGAGCCTCCCCCGGCCCACCACTCTGGGCAGGTCCACTCGCATGAGGGGGCAGCGATGGCGACGGCCGGCAGCTTGCCTGCAATGCCATCCCTCGAGCAGGCGAGGAGCCCGGAGGCTACCAGATGCGAGTCCTCTTTCCCACCCTGCTCGGGAGTCCAGAGCACTTGGTCGCATTCAGGATCTAGAGTGGGGAAGCGGGGCTTGTGTCTGGGCTGGACACATTGGGCTGCCTGTGCCGCTCGACCTGCGGGGAGAAATCAGGGTGGGAGTCACGACCGTGAGGCAGGGCTGCCAAGTGTGGCAGAAGAGGACACGGCCGTCGCACCTGTCCTTATGTAGGAGCTTCTTCCGTGTCGACCTGCTGCCCTAAAGTCTTGGCTTTTTTCTTGGCTTTTTGGCGGTTGGCACAGAAGGAAGGCAAGGGGGAGGGGAAAAAATTGAAACTTACACTTTCGTGCGTCCCTCCCGGCGTGACACTGCGCGCTGACGTCACGGGGCTGTAATGGTGGTGTGCCTCGAGATTTTTTTCATGAAACAAGTGTGCCTTTGCCCAAAAAAGGTTGGGAAACACTGGTTTAAGGATTGCTAGGAATTGTAACTCTATGATGAGCCAGCTACAGTTCCCAGAATTCTTTGAGGGAAATAATGTACATTGAATGTGCTTGAAAGGCATAGTTTATACGCAGCCTGGTTAGTTATAAGGCATCTTCCTATGCAATTCAGATACTTACTGTTTCAGGCCCTTCATTTATCATCTTTCAGGGAATGTTTCTATGGGGCATTATCCCTTCCTTAGAGAGTATCTGTGCTTTTTAAAAAAATACAAAAAAATCCCTTTGAAATCTCTTTAGAGTGTCATTAGGACTAAGAGCAGAGCCACTTTCAAACCCTCACTCAGCTTTGAAGCTCACTGGTGTGATTTTGGATTAGGCACATTCTCTCAGCCTGGCCTACTTGACAAGGTTGTTGTGAGGATAAAGTGACTGTGAGAGAGAAGGGGTTAAGGAACCAGTCACACTGACCTGGGCTCCTTGGGGGAAGGGTGGAATCAAAAGAGGATAAGTAAAAATTAGACTCGTAGAATTAGCGTAATTCAGTACTCGAGTGAACGAACCATGAGTAGAAAAGTCCTTGGTTCAGAATCTTTTTTTTTTTTATAAATTTTTTATTAAAGTTTCAAAAGTTTTTTATAACAACCAAACCAAACAAAACAATACAATAAAAAAAAACCAATACAATAAAAAACAAGTATAATTTCAATCCTTATTTTCTTATGACTTACTTCCCCGACTTCCTCATACCTCCCCTTTCTGTATTCCATTTTCTAATTTATTATTCAGCAAATCCTTCCCTTATTTTTCACTTAATTTTAACCATTCTTTTCTTCTGGTTCAGAATCTCACTGAATTCACTGGGTTGGCCTTTTGACACAACCGTTGGATGTTGGTATAGCTCAGTTGGTTAGAGCGTGATGCTGATAATACCAAGGTTGCAGGTTCAATCCCCATATGGGGCAGCAGCATATTCTTGCATTGCAAGGGGTTGGACTAGATGATCCACAGGGTCCCTTCCAACTCTGCAATTCTATGATTTTATGTCTCATCCTGAGCCATCCATCTGCACAACAAAGGTAATAATAGATCAGGCGGCTGTTAAAAATCCAAGAGCTGTCCAGGGCGTTATTGATGGTCAGCTGGCAATGCTAACATAGACATCTGCTTGGTTTCATTCCCCTTGGTCCGCCAGCTCCACTAACAATTGCTTGAGAGATTTTCCAAGCATGCTTGTAAAACGCAGAGGTCTCCCAGAGCTCATGACTGTTGAATTTTGGAGGGCCAGATTTTATCGCTGCTCCTTCATGTTTTCCTTTGCAAGATTCCATTGTTGCTGTAAGCCACTGTCAAGGGAACGGCTTTGCTCAGGCCGTGTTGCAACCTCAGTCACTGTTGCTCCTTGCTACCAATCAAAACAAGCTCTTGTCTGCCAACCCATCTTCCCAAACACTCTTTCTCGCTCTTTTACCTTGTTTGAACGAAAAGCTCCAGCACCTTCTTTGCCTGGAGGGGCATGCCTCATGTTTGGCTCAGAAAAAGGCACTGGAAATTTCGATGCTCTGGAATGCTTGTGATTTAATTCTGAAGTTGCAGAACCTTAGTGTTGCCCCAGCCTTGGGATTCTCGGGTAGAGCCAGTACAGTCCTGGGAACTGTGTGTCTCGGATTTCTTCCCTGCAGCAATGGTGGCGGGAAGAGGTCCCCCGAAACAGAAAAGTGTATCGTTATAAAGACCGGTGTCTATGCGCATCCATGCTGATGCTACCCATGGGGCTTGGGATGGGAGCTGGGTTGAAGCTGAAGCTTCATGCGCATATATACATTAACTGAGCAACAATAACCATTTCTCCCCAAAGTTGTATGAGCAGATGAAACTGTTTTATATCGTTAGTCCGCTAGGCTGCATAATCCAGAACTATGATGGGCGGTGGCTACACTCATAGATCGATATCTCATAGAATATAGAGTTGGAAGGGACATTAAGGATCGTGTGGGACAACCCCCTGCAATGAAGGAATTTGCAGCTGTCCGTTACAGAGATTGAACCTGCAGCCTCGCTCCCCTTAATCCAAATAGCATTTCCGTTAGGAAGCATTTCAGACTACAGTCGTACCTTGGAAGTCAAACGGAATCCGTTCTGGAAGTCCGTTCGACTTCCAAAACATTCAGAAACCAAATCACGGCTTCTGATTGGCTGCAGGAAGCTCCTGCAGCCAATCAGAAGCTGCGGGAGCCCCCGTTGGATGTTTGGCTTCCAAAAATAGTTCGCAAACCGGAACAGTCACTTCCGGGTTTGTGGTGTTCGGGAGCCAAAACGTTCGGGAACTAAGCTGTTCGAAAACCAAGGTATGACTGTATTTATTATTATGTTTATATCCTACCTTTCCTCCAAGGTAGCATATGTGGCTCTTTCCCTTCTCCATTTTATCCTAACAAAAGCCGTGTGAGGTCGGGCTAGGCTTAGAGACTGGCTGGTCCAAGGTCACCCCAGCAAGCTTTGTGCCTGAGTGGGGATTTGAACCCTGGTCTCCCAAAGTCTTAGGACATGGGTGGCACTGTGGTCTAAACCACAGAGCCTAGGGCTTGCCGATCGGAAGGTCGGCGGTTTGAATCCCCGCGACGGGGTGAGCTCCCATTGCTCGGTCCCTGCTCCTGCCCGCCTAGCAGTTAGAAAGCACGTCAAAGTGCAAGTAGATAAATAGGTACCACTCCGGCGAGAAGGTAAACGACGTTTCCGTGTGCTGCTCTGGTTCTCCAGAAGCGGCTTAGTTATGCTGGCCACATGACCCGGAAGCTGTCTGTGGATAAACGCTGGCTCCCTCGGCCTATAGAGCGAGATGAGCGCCGCAACCCCAGAGTCGTCTGCAACTGGACCTAACAGTCAGGGGTACCTTTACCTTTACCTCCCAAAGTCTTAGTCCAGCGTCCTAACCACTGCATCACACTTTGCCTATCTAGCACCTGTATTTTCTGCCTTGATTGGCATCCTGAGAAAAATCTGAGACATAAGATCATGTTCTACTGCTTCGGGAATAGCATGGAGGACCAGTGTACTTTATCCATGGGTTTTTATTGCAATATTGTTGATTGACGGAGTTTGATGCTCTGTCTGTTTTTGAAGGGGTGAGAGTAGGCCGGTTTTTATTCTCTC